AGAATGTGGGCTAAATATTTAAATTAAAAATTTTTATAGTAAAAGATACATTGATATTAATTCCCCTCAAAATACAGTTGAAGCAGTTCTAGCAGTTCTCTTTCATGAGTGTCTTTAGTTGTACTATTTATCCTGACCGTGTTGATGTCCAAAATTGATTCAAAACTTTTCATGATAATTTTGACTTTGGGGAAGAGGCAGCAATTGCATTGTGCCAAATCTGCTGGACAAGGTAGGTGAGAACACACCCTAATGTTTTCAAGGGTTGTTTTTCCATTGGATGGTACTCAGCAGTAACATTTTTTTTATCATATCTCATAAAGACATGAAAGAGGACTTCCATAATTGCTTTAGAATACAGCAAGAACGATGGCATAAGTGTGTTTGAAGCAAAGGGGTAGATTTTGAGGGGGTTAAAGTATGTATCTTCTACTGTAATCTTTGAAAATTTAAATATTCACTGTGTATTTTGATCACACCTCATACTTTATTGATAGATTTTACATTGAACATTTTCCAACTTATCTCAAATAAAATGCGTTAGTGTTTACACACGTCTACATAACTACGCAAACATAGTTGTCCTGTGCACGAGTGTTTTAGCACTGTGCATATATTAAAAGTTTATTTTTTCACATTTTCAGTAATTATTGTAAAATAAATAATAAATTAGTAGGAAAAGAGAGAAAGCAGAGTCGTTTAATGTTTATTTTATAAAGGTATTTGAAGGACTTTTTAAAAAAGGAAACGGTTTTGGCTAGTAAATGACCAGCAGCCTTCAGCATCCTGGGAAAACCACTTGGGCTTGGTCAAGGTTCTCAGCAGTCACTGACAGGAAATGGTCATGGTCTCCTCAGTGTGTAATTTACTGGAGGCTCGAAAAGGTTGTATTCTCTGCAAGAAATCTCACCGGCAACGCCCTGCCTCCTTGCCTCTCACTCCCTCTCAGGCTTATTCGGATCAGTGCTGCGGGGCCGCCCTAGTCCTAGGTACCACAGCAGGCCATAGCGGATTAAGCTTTTACTCCCAAGCAGCTGTGCGTGCTGGCCTTGTTGGAATGAGAGGCAGAGAATTCTGATCACCGGGAAACCGCGGGGAGCAGGAGTGGGAGGTGGGTGGGTGAGGTGTCGCCTGCAGGCGCCCACTCCCCATCCACTGAGAGTTGCTGCAGGACCTGAGCAAATCCGTATGGCTGCCACTCTCCAGAGAACGATCCCTGGGCCTTCGTCCAGCTCCGCTCCCGCCCACGCCTCCAGGTGTGCTTTCCCCGCCCTTAATTACTCTTACTAAAATTGATAGTTTGCACTTGCAAAATAACACTGGGAAAGCGGAAGAGAAATTTATAACCATGGATCTGGAGGACTAGGGGAGCAGAGAGGCACACTTGCTTTGGTCTGCCGCTCGTCAGTCAGAAAATCCAGAAGCAGAACACACACCTTTGCAGCAACAGTCTACCCTTCGTTCTGTGCAGCTTTCTATCTAGGGCTGCGCTGGGAGAAACTGCAACTTCTGGAAAGTTTAGAAACTGAACTACTCCAAAGAGGCCACGCTCCGAGGGATTTGCAGGCCCCGCGACTTTTCCTAGAGCTTTTCAAGTGGGGCAGAGAAACAGGACAAAATGAAAACGCACTGGACTCCCGCAAAGCTGTCGCGCCCAGGGGTGAGCGCAGGAGGACGGGTGGCAGTGGCGAGGAGGTGGCCTCGGTCCCCGCGGTGGCTTGTCTGATCTGGGGCGGGGTGTGGGGGAAGAAGGAGTCGGTAAAATAATGAATGGGAGCTCCCCCCACCCGCCCCCAGCCTGGCGACCTGCGGCCGCGGCGGGAACTTCAGCCAATGAATGGGGGAGGGGAGCGCACAGGCCGGGGCGCGGGGACGCCGCACAGGTAAGGGGTCGAGGTGGGGAGGGCGTCCGGGGGTGCCGGATTGGCTGACTTGTGCGGTGTGGAGCAAGCAGAAAGGAAAGGCGGGGGAAGAACGGAGGTCGGCGTCTGCTCTGCCTCCTAGGCCCTCCCTCTGCGTCCCCTCCCTGGCTGCCCCTGCCAACTCGCAGAAGCCGGGGCAGAAGGGGCCAAGCGTCGGCGCTCACCGAGTTGCGGCTCCTCGGCCGCCTTGGCGATCGCTGCCCGGATCTGGGGTGCCTGGCCCCGCGGAGCCCTCCCCGGCTTCCCCGCTGAGCACAGGACCTGGCGGGGTGGGCCCAGGGGGCGGCCCGGCTCTGGGCGACCGCTAAGGGGCGGACGGAGGGCCGCGTTCTGCAGGCCCCGGGGCGGGGGCGGTGGAGCGGGACGCTCGGCGGCTGCTGGGAGCGCAGGTAAAGGGGCGGGCGCAGCACCGGGAGGCGCCCCTGGGAGCGCAGCCAGTGGCCGGCCGCGGGACAGCCCCGCAGCCCAGCGGCGCGCTGGCTCCGTTGTCCCGCCGCAGACGGCTTTGTGGCCGTGTGCGCGCGCGGGTGCGAGGGAGAGAGTGAGTGTGAGTGCGCGCGCTCGCCCGGCCCGGCCCGGGTGAGTGGGTGTGCGCGCGTGCGAGGCGGCCTGCAGGAGGCGAGGCTCTCCTCTTCTTCCTCACCAACCGGTTGACGGAGCCCTGCTAGGGAAGTTGTCGCAGCCGCCGGGGCCACCGGCCCTGCTGTCCCCTGGACAGGTCAGTGTGTCGGGGGCCGCCCGGTGACACACAGGTAGCTTCTGAGCATCTCGGTCGGCGGGGGGAGCGGGAGGCTGGCGGAGGGCGGGAGGCTGGCGGAGGGCGCTCGGGGTCCCCCAGCGCCGCGTCTCTGGGGGACTTGAACGGCCGGGGCTTCTGGGCAGCGCGGAGCTCCTGCACCGCTGGCTTCTGGCTGGCGACTCTGTGGTCCAAGGGCTGAGGGCTTTTAAGTTTCTGTTCGGCTGCCGAACGTGCTTAGCAAGTAACTAGGAGGAGTGCAAGTCAAGGGAGGGACCTGGCTTTGCGTTGATGGCTTTGAAATCGATGGGCTCCTATGGCTTGTGCGGGGCTACCTAGTTTGTTGCGAATGATTTAAAGTTTATTCTCGTTTTTTCCTTCTCTGCCATTTTGCCTTTGATGTTTAAGAGTGGTGGCACTCAGGACTTGTTGCTGCCTACAATCTGGGGCCTGAGGTGGTTGCTCTTTGCTACTGCTTCTCTTTCTTTTCCTTTTTGGTGAAATCTATGTTTTTTTGTTTTGTTTTTTTTTTTTCCTTTCATGAATGTGGGTTACCAGTGCGTGCTCACTTGTGAAAGTTTCACTATGAATGTCTTGTTTCCCATTGGAATAGATACCCACTGGTAAACATAAATATTGAAAACGTAACTAGTTATTAAGGCCAAGTCCTCTATTCCTTCTGGCTCAATCTGTTTTCCACCCATCTGCATGAGTGTCGTTTGCTCAGCCAACCTAACTGTGAAGCTAGAGTCTGTGATTCAAAGTTTGCAATTCCGGTTGAAGGGAGACTCTGCCCTTGGAAAACGGCTAAATTCTTGTAGGAAATTATTCCCTTGTCAGATAAGATGAATGCCAAGGAAAAAGTGTATGTATTAGACTTGTAGTTGTGTGAACCAAACTCAACTGAGTTCAAACACACACACACACACACACACACACATTCACCTACTTGCTTCTGCCCTTAATTTTCCAAATGCAAAATTGTAAATAGTGGCTTTTTTGGGGGGTGGGGGGTGGGTGGGTGACCAGGAATCGAACTCAGGACCTTTCCCTTGCGAGGCAACAACATTGTAAATAATCTCTCTCCCTCTCTCTCCCTCTCTTCCTCTCTCCCCCTCTCCCCCTCTCTCCCTCTCTCCCTCTCTCCCTCTCTCCCTTTCTCCCTTTCTCCCTCTCCCCCCCCCCCCCCTTTCTTTCCCTGTTCTTTGAGGCTACCTAGAGAAAGCAGTAGGGTGAGACCAGAACGCACAGGTCCAGGAGCTGGACTGGCAGAGTGGACTGTCACGATCTGGCCCGCTTGCGCATGGCGTCCCCTAGCGGCGCAAACTGAGCCCTCTGGTCAGCTGCTGGTGGGTGTCCTCATCTGGAAAATGGAGAAGTTTGTTCATTTTTGCTGATCCTTCCTACCAGCTTCCCCAGACTGGAAACTGGTGAGTGGTTGTGCTGTGATAGAACAGTAGAAAGGACGAAAGGGGAGTATGAAAGGGTTCGTGGGAGAGGGAAATAGGAGGACAGCAGAGCCAAAAAGGTGGAAAAATTCCAACAGTAGGGAATGTCTGCAGCAGAAAGAAGGAGCTGGGAGGGAGTTGATTTCTTCTTCTTCCTCTTCTTCTTCCTCCTCTTCTTCCTCCTCCTCCTCCCCTTGTTGTTGTTGTTGTTGTTCTTCTTCTTCTTCTCCTCCTCCTCCTCCTTCTTCTCCTTCTTCTCCTTCTTCTCCTTCTCCTTCTCCTTCTCCTCCTCCTTCTCCTCCTCCTTTTCCTTTCCTTTTGCTTTTCCTCCTGCACAAAGGAATCAATAATACTCCCCTTTCTTCTGATCAATCTCTTGTTACCCTTATTAAAGCTTGCGCCTGCTTAGCGTTAAAATTGACATGAGATGGAGGTGATCTTTGTAGTCTGAGCTCTGCTGGGAATGCCCGGACTAGGTGGCGATTTCCATCTTCTCCAAGGAACAGCTGCTGGCCAGAGCTGTGGGCACCCCCTGCACTCTCAGTATCCCCTTGAGAAGTGGGAAAAAACAACAGAGGTGGGAATGTAAGTGGCAGCCCCTTTGAAACTTGTTTTCATTCAAAGCTAATATTTTCCAAAATATAACTTGATTTTTCCCCAAATTATACCATAGATTTCTTTTAAAGCTTTTATTAAACCTGTTCTACTCCACCTCCGGGAACATTAAAAAGTAATCTCAGTCGCTAAGTCTTTTTGATACAGTGACATTCTGTCTGAAGTTAGTGATTTTTTAGGGGGCAGGATCATTTCAAATGCTTAGTAAGCAAAGTTGCAATCTGGGCAGAATACACTATATCACTTTCTCTGGGAAGCTTTAAGTATTCAACAAATCACAACACTTTTAAAATGTAATTTGAGTTCATTTTTAATGTGTCTGCTTGATGTGTGATCTTACTGTTCTTTCATTTTTCCCTCCCCTCCTCCCCCCTCCCTTCCCCTTCCCTTTTCTTTCTTTTCCCTCTTTTCCTCCCTTCCTCCCTCATTTCTTCTCTTCTTTCTCTCCCAAGGTGGATATAGTCAGAAGCCTCAGTGATGAAAGCTGGAAGTTGTAAGGCCGTTGATTATAGGGAAATTTGGATGCTATTTTAAGGAGTTGTGCTACATGGGGATGGGGAAGTACTATTTGACCCCAAGATGCAAGAAGAAACTGAGTAACACATTTTGGGTCAGAGTGAGGGATAGAATGACTGAGGGAGGAAAGGGCTTTGGACTTGGTAGCCAATTTATTCAGCTTTCTTATATGAACATTTTAGAATAAACTAGTATGTGATTCTTTCCCCTCTTACTCCTTCCAAATTTGTAATTTCTTTGTACTTTTGAGAAATTCAATTTAGTAAAAAATTGTCTATGCTGTGATATATCTGGGCCTTCTGGAGGCTTTTGAGCGCATGTGTTGAACTCATTCTGCGGCCGCAGAGCTGACCATACATTTTTTTCTTTCTTTCTTTCTTTTTTGTTTAGGGAAGGGCTTACTGGTTAATGCTAATTTAAACATGACTCTTCTGGCAACTGGCAGTCTTGACCCTGTTTATGTTGTACATAGTATTTAACCACAGTGGTTGAATATTTGCCGCAGAGAAGAGGAAGAATTACAGTACTATTAGTTTGGAAATAGAGTCAATGACCCTGTAAAGGATGAGTGGTGGATCGAATCCTGAGAATCTTTTATGAAGTTTAATCTCCAATAGAAGTAGCTTGCTCAGTCCTGTAGAATAATATTTCTTTAAGAATGTCTCCTTTTTTTTTTTTTAAATCCCTGGGTCTCAAGTATTTAGCTCATTAGGTTCAAGAAGAATCTCCATGGCAGTAGTGGCCAGAACCTATTACATGCATGTTATTTGTTTTTCTTTTAAGACAAAAGATGTTAATGTGTAAGTTGTTTTTTCTAAGCTAAAACCTCAGTATTCAGGTTTAATTGCAGTGTTGGCCATTTGTGATAAATAAGTGAGCTTTGGGTTACAGTTTGGGCACTTGTGTCTAAAAGGTTCTCCATCACTTGGAAAGGTCTTTAGGTTCCCTCTCTAACCCCAAAGACTCATTGTTGGAGATGGCAATGAATAGGTTTTCAGCTCCATGCCAAAAGTGGAGCTGATTTAGGTGAAGGCTGTGAATCTGAAGATGCTAAGCTATTAAGGAGTCAGATAATTAAAAAAGATTAGGTAAGCTTCTTTTTACTTTCTTATGGATATAATTTGAATGAATGATTCCCCAGCAGGTTTTTTTTATACCTTCTGGAAAGGAACTCAGGATGGCATGTTTAATAAATTAAATTAGTTAAGATGAAGGACCCCAATGTTAGTACTGTATACTTTATTTCTTAGGAGATACAGTTTACCAATGGGTGTATGTGTGTGGGGAGTGGGGAGTTGTGGATGGGAATTGTGTTTAAATTCCTTAGTAAATTAGTATGATTTCATGTATTATTGACTTTTTGGGAGAGGCCCAAGGAAATTGTAGTAATACTTGGCTGTTAGCCTCAGTTATCTGATCAGTG